ACAGGGACTTGTTTGAAAATTTTGTCGGAGAATCAGACATGAAGGAAAAAAAACGACTACCATAGGCATTGATACTATATTGTGATAGGTCAAATTCTCCTTTAGCAGCCATATGGTCAGAATGCCACTAAACGTTCTTAATATTCCAAATGTACTTTCAGACCCCATGCTATTCCTTCTCCCTGATAAAGGAAATAATAATAATAATAATAATAATAATAATAATAATAATAATAATAATAATAATAATAATAGTAATAGTAAAGTTGGAAGGGACCTTGAAGGTCATCTAGTCCAACCCCCTGCTCAGGCAGGAAACCCTATACCATTTCGGACAAATGGCTGAAATGGATAGTAGGATCACATACGGGCCACGGTTTGCCTCATGCTTGTATCTGAACTGACTTTCCTCAACAGCAGATTGGACTTTGAGCAGCAATTGTAAGCATGCTTGTTATGACATCATTGCTGCCATGTAAGCTACAGTTAAGCCTACTTCAGAAGTATTTTGTATCATGTAAATGTTTTTTTTTTCCTGTTCTGAAGACCGATTAAAAAGGTTACTGCTAATTAGTTCACACACACACACACACACAGCAGGTGACAGAAAAGGCAAATTTCTTTAGTTTGGAAGCTTAGTGGTAGGTCTGTACCAAAAGCAGATAGGACAAAGGTAAAAGAAAGCATAAATAAGGAAGTTGATGTAGGAAAGAATGACTGACAACTTGTTAACTTGTTCCTAGCCAACCTGGACTTTGGTCATTTGCATACAGTACTGCCTACTTATTGAGTACTACAGCATTTCTACCATAGCTCTTTTTAATTCAGTTTAATTTAATGGTTCTGAAGCAAGATCTCAACTAATGGAAGACACTATAAGCATATAAGGAACGGCTGCTGGAATTGGGTATGTCTAGTTTAACGAAGAGAAGGACAAGGGGGGACATGATAGCAGTCTTCCAATATCTCAGGGGCTGCCCCAAAGAAGAGGGAGTCGAGCTATTCTCCAAGGCGCCTGAAGGCAGGACAAGAAGCAACGGATGGAAACTAACCAAGGAGAGAAGCAACCTAGAACTAAGGAGAAACTTCCTGACAATTAGAACAATTAACCAGTGGAACAACCTGCCTCCAGAAGCGGTGAAGGCTCCAACACTGGAAGTTTTTAAGAAGAGACTGGACAGCCGTTTGTCCGAAATGGTATAGTGTTTCCTGCCTGAGCAGGGAGTTGGACTAGATGACCTTCAAGGTCCCTTCCAACTTTACTATTATTATTATTATTACTAGCAGTAACTAAGCAAAATGTCTAATTATCCAAGTGGAAAAATGAGGGCAAATGTAGAAGAGATTGCAAGGTGATCGATTACTGTATTGAGGACTACCTGCATATTTTTTTCAGCTTTGACATCCCAGGTACATTATATATAGTGTGGGCATTAGTTTGTATGTTGGTGGTCAAAACAGCGGACCTGGTAAATCTCTCTTAAAGCAGATTTGGTAACCTTTTTATTTTATGTAAAGACTTATCCTTTGCTGGGAAGGGTTAATATTGTTCTCTATGATTCATTGGGGCTTCAGGAGGTCCAAGCACCTAGTCCATCTTGGCTCTTCTAGAAAGCTAAGCTGAAGTAGCCCTGGTATTATTTGTATGGGAGGAGATCACCTGCAAATCTTGGTGTTGACTAAAATATAAAGTCAAATCTTGAAAGATGTCAATGGCACTCTCCCCCACTTCATGATGTTCCAAAAATCACATTGACGCACCTTAGAAATTCAGGAAGAGTCAACCTGGATTCAGTTTGAAGCTTCTCCTGGACTTGTAGCTTCTCCCTGAGGAACAAATTGCAACTGTGGCTAGAAAAGCCTTTGCACAGCTTCATCTTGTAGATTAATATTACCATTTCCCGGATCAGGAGGTGCTTCTCATGGCCACTCATACCTTAGTCACTCGTGTATAATTACTATAATGTGCTCTACATGAGGCTGCCCTTGAAAAAAAACTCAAAAGCTAGAGCAAGTCCAGAATGCAGCAACATGTGCATTAGAGATAGTGCTTGACTTCGTTTGTTTAGTGACCAATATGAAGTTACAACAGCACTGAAAAAAGTGATTTACGAGAGTTTTTCACACTTATGACTGTTGCAGCATCCCCATGGTCACATGATCAAAATTCAGACACTTGGCAACTGACTCATATTTATAACAATTGCAGTGTCCCGGGGTCATGCGATCAACTTTTGTGAACCTTCTGACAAGCAAAGTCAATGGGGAAGCCAGATTCGCTTAATAGCCATGTTACTAACTTAACAACTGTGGCAAGAAAGGTCATAAAATGGGGCAAAACTCACTTAGCAAATGTCTCACTGAGCAACAGAAATTTTGAGCTCAATTGTGGTCATAAATCAAGGATGAGCCTTGGTACACCCATTAACTCCTCTGCTACTTAAGTTGCAGGTTACTAGTGGGCCTCATGGTGCAATTCTAGTTGCAGGTAAATATTTGTAAAGCACAGGACATTTACAGCACTGTCTTCTTCCCGGGCAGTTTCTGCTGACCCATTAGTTCTGATAGTTTGGCGTACTTTGCATCCCATGTATTCAACAATGTCATTCCATGGTACCTGGGAGACATTCTATGTTGCTATTCCTGCTCTCTGGCTGGAGAATTCTGGGAGTCCATACATTTTAAAGTCCCAAGGTAAGAAACATTACCTGAAATGTACAGTATACCATTGCTAGCTCCCATTATCTACAAAATTGACAAAAGCAACACAACATTACAATGAGCAGCTCCTTTCTATACAATGTGCTCATTATTCTTAGCCACATTTTAATTAAAAAAACAACAACAGTTAATGTATTTCCTGCAAGGAGCACTAACCTCTCCAGTTGCCAACTAGACCTTTACAACCCTGGCTGTGCAGTGTCACGAACAGCAAATCTTGATCTTAATAATACTTTTTAAGAATAAAACAAGGAAACTCCATCCTTTTGTCTTAGCAATGGGACTCATTTGACTTCTTCAAGAGTTTAATATTTCATAAATTAAAAAAAAATCCGCTTTGCACTGATTTTTAAAGTAAAACATCAATTTAAACAGATGTTTACTTCCCTTCTAATTTGACCAGTTTAAAAGCCTGACTAGAAGCATAAATTATAAAGTATTGCCACCCAATATGAGTCCTCAGGATGAGGCGGGTTAAAAGACAGAAATAATTAATAAAGGGCAAAAGAAACATAAGGTATCTCTGCAAGGGTGACAGTGATTATAAAATCCAAAATGTTTTTCAATTTCATTCTTATAAAACAGAAAAGAAGGGGGATGGAATACAAAGGGCCTGCTGAATGATCTATTATTCAATTGATCTGACATGGTGAAGTATTGATTTTGCATTCTTGTCTGGAGAAGGGAGGAGACAGCAAGGACCAGAATAAACAATTTTAGAACATAACCTTTTTTTTTTTAAACAAAGCAGGTTTTTGCAGATGGTTTTATTCAAGAAAAGGGATCCCTGAAAAAAATCAGGTTGGCACTAGGAGAAAAAGGCTACATGCAAGAAGCTGAGGAAATCAAAGTAAACAATTTCAGAGGGAAAAAAAAAATTACAGGCAGAAAGAGAGGGTCCCTCCCTTCCTTTTGGCTGATACTTCTCAGGACGTCTGCTCTGGCTTCTTCCCTTAAAATAAAACCTATAAACAGCTGTATCTTATCTTTGCACCACGGAATCTATTTTTGACTGCCCGTGACAGAGAAGGTAGGAAGACATGGCTGCGATACGCATTTGCAGCTGCTCGCAACTAGTCCCTAAAGTGTGCAAGTTATGTAGATGCCATAAATAAAAAAGGCGGTTGGACGCGTAAGCGATGCTTGACGGAAAAGAAGGAAGTAGCCGAGCGCTTGAAAAAGAAAGGCGGGAGAGGACGCTGTTTTGACACCCGCTGCTCCGTCGAAACGGCAGCAGCTTTTCCTTTGTGGGGAACAGAAAAGGGGCTGTTTTGGGGGGGCGACAAGGCAGAGCCGTAGTGTCAAGGAGTGGGGGAGCAAGAGGGATTCGGGGTGCGCGGGCCATTGTCCGGCAAAACCGGCCACCCAAACTTTGGCACAAGTGTGGAGGCGAGGCGGAGGAAAGCCTGGCTTAGCCGTCCGCCAACGCGGAGGCGCGCTCAGGCCGAGCTCAAGGGCGCGGCAAGAGCCTGACCCGCGTCCCGAGGCCGGTCAGCGAGGAAGACACGGGTCTTTTTCGGCGAGGCTCGGCTGGACACGAACGGGCGGCGGGGAACGCCCGCTCGGTCGACACGGCGGGACGCGGCCGGCCTTGTCCGTGCACCAGGCAGGCCCCACGCCAGCCTCCCCCGTCCAGAGAGGCCGGGTTGTTTTCATAAGCTGGCACAGGTGCAGGGCATCCTTCAGGCTCCAGCCGGCCAGGGAGCCCCAGGCGCGCTGGCGAGCGGCGCCTCAGCCGCCGCCGCGGAGCATGCAGCCATTTTGGGCTTCGCCAGACAAAGGACGACAGCGACCGTCGCGGCCAGCCCCGAGGCGTCGGCGGCCGCAACCCGTAGCACCGCCTCCACTTCCCCTCATCGCCTCCTCGGCCGGCACCCGGCGCGCACGGCCAGCCCGACTTTCGGCGGCCAGTCCCTCTCGCTAGGCCGCAGCCGGGCCCTTGGCGCCCGTTCCCTGTCTGAGCGCTCGCAGCCATTTGCCTCAGTATTTATAGCCGGTCGCCGGCCAATCAGGAACCGACGGAATCCCTCTCGGGCCGCTGAGGTGACGCCTCGACGCCCCCCCCTCCCCAGCCCGCTCGCGCGGAGTTTTCGTCGCGCATGCTCCGTGGCGGAGGCCGAGGCGGGAGGGGAGAGCAGCGTATGTGTAAAATGAGTGAGTGAGGTGGGGGGGGCAGAGCAGGAGGAGGGCGGAGGAGGAGGAGGAGGGCAGAGGGAGGAGTGAAAGGGGGGGGGCGGCGGGCGGGAGGGAGCCGCTCGCCAGGAACCCTCCGAAAAAAGATGGCGGCGGGCTCGGATCTGCTGGATGAGGTTTTCCTAAACGCTGAGGTGGATGAGAAGGTGGTGAGCGACCTGGTGGGCTCCCTGGAGTCTCAGCTGGCGGCCTCGGGCCATCACCACCCGCACCACAAGGCGCAGGAGCCCCTCAGGGTCGCCGGGGGGCTGCTGGGGAACCATGTTGTGAGCAGCGGCAGCAGCAGCAGCAACAGCCCTAGCCCTAGCCCGGGAGGAGGAGGAGGAGGAGGAGGAGGAGTAGGAGGCAATGCTAATGTCCAAACAGAGAACCCCGGCAGCCGCACCACCGGCAGCAGCAGCACCAGCAGCACCACCGCCGCCGCCGCCGCCGCCAAGATGGGACTCAGTGGCCCGGAGATCACCAAGCCAGGTAACCTGGCGAGGCAAGCCGGGGCGGGGGGGGGGTTGCCTCCTCCTCCTCCTCTTCCTCCTCTTCTTCTTGCCCTTCTCCCTCAGGAACGGGGGGCTCCCCCCCTCCCGGGCTGGCTCCCTTTCTTTCTCCCCTGCCCCCCCCTTCCCCTGCTGGGGGCAGCAACTGGAGGGTGCCAGGGGGTGGCATGGAGTTGGGGAGGGGGAGGCGGCGAAGAGAGAGAGGCCTTCCTCAATTGCCAACCCCCCTGCCTCCCTCCCTCCCCAACACCCTATTTTTGGCCGGGACGGTCTCCCTCCTGCCTCTGCTGCACCTAGAGCCAGGGGCAGACGGGGGTGGGGGTGTGGGGGGGTGAGTGTTGTGGTCAGGGAGTGCGTGTGTTGGGTCCTTTAGGGGACGAGGAAGCCGCTTCCTTTGCTGGGGTTCCCCTCCTCTGCTCTTAATTCTGTCACCTCTCTGTCTCCCGAGAGGCTGGAGTGTTTTGGGGGGCTCCTGAGGACGAGGAAGGAAGACACCTTACCTTTGGACTTCTGTGCCACCTTTCTCCCGCGTTCCTGGAGTCTGCAGTCAGAAATGGTGCTCCCTGCCCTCCTTATCCATTTCGATATTCCCTGGCTGTCTTGGATTCTTTGCCCTCCCTGCCTGAAGTGCATTGGGGAGGGAGGGGGGGGGGGGCTGAGAGAAGCAATGTTATTAATCACAGCAGCAGCAGCAGCAGCAGCTTCCCCTGGGAAGAGGAAGTGATGGGGGGACCCGAGGATCAGGAACCCCTTTTATAGAGATCTCTTTGCAAATACGGCACCGCTTAACTGCTCCTCCTCTGTGGTTGTAGGGGTTATGCCCCCGAACCTTTTTGCTTTTCTCGAAATAATATGCCAGGCTGGGCTAGGCAGAGAGTCACAGCACAACCTCTACTCCTGCCTGTGGGACTGGAAGAATGACAGTCCATCTGTAAATGTTTTCCCCCTTGTAAAAAGACGGTGCACGCTGAAGGAGTAGGCTAACTCCAGGGTCTCTGCCTTTCCGTACACGCAAAGACGGCCTTTTAAAGAAAGCAAAGGCAATGCTGATCCATTTACCCCAGCACAATTCCAATTCTATTCCTACGTATATAATTCCACACCCCCCCCTTTCCAGTTGCTCGAATATTACAAGGACGCTGTTGCTTGTCATGACACCAGGTTAATGAAAGGGGTGGGGTTTCAGAGAAATAACCTTCCCTTAGTCCTGATTTTTGTGACCCCGTGTTTCTGACTACAGTCCTTCTATTTGTGTTTACTAAATGCAGAGCCTGCGGAGACAGGGCTGATTTAAGTGACACTGGCAGGTTTTGGGAGGAATATTTGCTTTCTGGGGACATCAAGGAAGAAAAAAAAATCCCTCCCTTTTTTGCTTGTATTTGTTTTCCTGTGGAAAGCAGGGCAGTAGAACAGCAGGATTTAATGATTTTAAGAGAGAGGATGACATCCCCTAAACTACCTTGCAATCTTTTCACTTATGTCACTTCTCTACTACTTCAGCCCCACTTTTTTCCACGTTGCTTTATTAGTCAAGAAATGCAATGGCTTTTGGATGGAAGCTTTTGGCTTCCTTCAGAAGATAAGGAGATGAAACAGAAGGGTTAGAGACCGTGGGGTTTTCCTTTTTTTACTTTTTCCTGTCTCTCCCCCTCCCCTAATTTTTCACCAATCTGATACAATTGCATGAGCAGACTTGCAGTAAAATGTCATTTAATGTGGAGTTATAAACTTCGAAAGGGGGGGGGGGAAACTTGAAAACTTGGTTTTTTGTTGCATGTCAGTGCAATTTATATTTGTTTGTGTGACTACTTAGCTGTTAATGGAAGAGCATTATAACCATCAGTAGAGAGGGAACAGTAGCAAACTCTTAATTGTTATCATAAGATTTTTTTTTCCCTTTTGCAGTAGTTGTTTCAATACTGGGGATGGATTGACACACAGGCAGTATAGTTCGTGCTGGACTTATTGAGCCTTAGAATCTTTTGTTTTCTTTCTCACCTTTTATATTGTAATTAAACTTTGTTTTATTTGCAGGAACTGGTGGAGTGCAAGGGAGTGTTATCAATCATAATGCCAGGTCCCAGGGCTCTACGTTGGATGGGACCACTACAACTAGCAGCAGCACCACTACAACTGTCCAAGGTGGCTCTGAAGCTGCTATTACCCCAGGGACCCTCAATCAGGGCAAATCAGTGGTAATCAGTACCATGGCAACAGCTTTATCTACCAGGAATGGTAAAATTGGGACCACTGCAGTGCAGACTTTGAACGGAAGTAACGTGGTGATGAATTCCCATGCTTCTTTCTCGGCCACTCCTGTAACAGCAAATCCTACCGTGGTCCCTGCTGTTGCTCCTCTCGTTAACAATGGACCTGGAAATATTGGAAAAGTCAACACCGTTAATGCTGTCTTGCCATCTGCTTCAAGTACTGTCATCCAGACTTCTTTCCTTGGCGCTGGAGTGTCCTCTGCCTCTTCACCTTCACCTACAGTGATCTCTTCACAACAGCCCCCCAATATGGGGACCGGGGGGCCAACAGTAGCATTGGTAAGGCCGCCCATTCACGCGGCAGGACCCTCATTGGCTGCCGCCACCCAAAATGGGAGCAGTACTGTGATCAATTCAACCATCAACGTGGGCGGTTTCCCGACTGCAGCTGTTGCAGCTGCCACGGTTGGTTCAGGGGTGTCTCTCCAGACCTCTCTCGTGAACAGCCAGCCAGGCTCTGGGGTATCAGCTGCTGCACCCACCACACAGGTCATCAAAGCGGAGTCTCCTAAAACTATCGTCCAAGCAGTCACCCAACAGCAAACTCTGACTGCAGCTGGCCAGCCTAGTACTACAGGGGGTAACATGATCATTGGGCAAACTATGCAAGCTGGCCTGCCCAACGTAGCTCCTAATCCTGGTGGAGTACCTCCTGCACCTCCAGGGACTCCCACAGGTCTGGCTAAGGGTGCTGCCAATACAGTGGCACAGAGCCTGCCCAGGACTGCAACTGCAACCACCGGTGGAATCAGAGCAACTTTGACTCCCACTGTTTTAGCACCTCGTCTGCCTCAGCCTTCTCAGAATCCCACAAATATTCAGAACTTTCAATTGCCACCAGGTAAGAAAAGACTGGAGAGACATTCCTGTTTTACTCGTAGACTTGCATCGGGATCTCTTGCTTTAAAAAAAGCGTTTGGGAATTTTGCGTAAAAGCACGGTCGGACAGCCTGTGTGATGGGATGTCTTTGGGGCTGCATTTTGTCCTGCAGTTGTTGTTTGTGAAATAGATAGTACAGGTAGCCCTCGACTTAAGACCGCAGTTGAGCCCAGAATTTATGCTGCTAAGTGAGAAATTGGCTAAGTGAGTTTTAACCCAATTTTGTGACTTCTCTTGCCACGTTTGTTAAGTGAATCAGTGCAGTTGTTAAATTAGTAACACAGTTGTTAAGTGAATCTGGCTTCCCCATTGACTTTTGCTGGTCAGAAGGTCGCAAAAGAGGATCACATGACCCTGGGACACTGCAACCATCATAAATATGAACCAGTTGTCAAGCATCCAAATGTAAATCATATGACCATAGGGCTGTTGCACCAGTCATAAGTGTGAAAAATGGTCATAAGTCACTTTTTTCAGTGCTGGTGTAACTTGGAATGGTTACTAAATAAAACTTGTTGTAAGTCGAGGACTACCTGTAGTACAAGAACTAATGAGAGGTCTTGTGTTGATTTGACAGCATTTTTAATTGGACTCTGTTTTTAGATGATTTTTGAAGAAAAGAGACTAGATTCTGAGCTTTTCTCCAGTATCTTTGGTCTGTTGATTTCTCTTTAGATGTGTAAGCATGCATGAGGACTAGAAGTGCAAGTTTGTTAAGAAGTGAAAGCTAAGATTGTTCAGGTTCTAACAGTACCTATCAGCTCCACAACTGTAAATCATATTGATGGGGTTTTTTTGAAAGTGGCATATGACATCTACAGAATTTAGGGTTTCAAGTGCACATTGGCTTAAATCTTTTAAGCTAATGCATGGCATGATAGATGTTTCCATGCGTGATCAAAGTAGCAAACCTAGTATAAAATGAAATGTTATGTTAATATATTCAGGGAAGATGAGCTGTCCTAGGATATGTCTAGTCTTCATACTTCTCTGTTTTAGCTTGCTGCTGTTGCCACAGAAGCAGCAAAGAGCAAGTACAATTTGCTACTCTTGAAAAATTTCTGTCAGTTGAAAATTATCAGGGACTATATGACATGTCTACAGTAACATTCCAATTACATTCTGTCCTCACCTCACCTCATTTTGTGTAATGCTGTGTAGCACATGCAGTCGCTAAGATCATGTTTAAAGACCAGGATAACATAGGCAGGAGTTTCTGGGTCTAAACCTAATTGGATTGCATGAATTTCATTGCTTCCATGTGATGACAAAGGCAATAAATCTAAACTTCATATTTAGTAACTGAGATTTTTTTAATGTTCTTATTGAATGTTACATAGGCAACTTTCTCACATTTTGAGAGATATCTTTTGAATTCTAGAAAGATGATGGCAAGTATCTGAATGCTTTCCCAGATCCTTAGATTAGTTTTAACTTAGTTTGAGTGTCTGTGGAATAGTTGAGCGTAAGATGTTTTATTTGCAAGGTGTATGTTTTAATGTGCTTCTTTGAAGGTCTTTAAATAGCAAAAATAGTATTTGTCTTGATCTATACTCTATCTATCTTGATCTATGCTTAGACTGATAGGCATACTATATAAGAAATTAAGGATTTTACATTGCTTTTCTGATAATCTCTGAGTACCTTGCAAATTGTAACAAGTTATCTAGCTAGCTTTTTACACATTCAGAAAGCTTTGGACACTTCCATTGTGAAAATCTTCCTGCACCGCATGTTGCCTATTGAAATACAAAATGATGCTCCAGTGAGTTTGGTCTTCTTGAAGAAACAGTCACGAAAATGACAGTTACAAAGGACCACTAGTACCCTTTTTGTAAAATGAAAGGGGTTTTTTTTCCATTTAAAAAGTTGCTAGCTTTCAAACATGTGCCTTAAAAGTGACCCAGTGGGTGGTTTACTCTCTAGAACAGAGGTCCCCAACCCCTGTTAGGAACTGGACTGCACAGCTGGAGGTGAGCACATGCGCGGGATCTAGGTTATGCGCTCCTCCTTCCTTGCCCCCCCCCCAGTCCATGGAAAAAATATTTCTACGAAATCGGACCTTGGTGTCAAAAAGGTTGGGGACCGCTGGTATAGAATATTTGGATTTGTGATCATGGCAAAATACCAAAACTTCCTTAAGAGGAAAATTAAGGTCTTTACCGGAAGCTCTGTTGTACTCACTTCAGTAAACATGCAGAGAATTGGGTAAGTTGCATCTCTTAAGTTGCATCTCTTGTACTGCATGCGAAAGGCACAGTGTCATAGCAGAAATGTTTTTGTGTACTCCTTTTGCACATGTAGGCCATCAGCTTCATTGCTTAAATATTGTATTTAATCAGCACTTTGTGAAAAATGCCCAGTGTGACACATGAGGTTTAAGTTTGTAAAAGAATAAAGCAAAAGTGTAAAAACTAGTAGAAAATTGCAATATCAGGGATAAAAACCAGATAATATCAAGCGTGCCAGTGCTTTTTAATGACTTACTGGATGTGGATAGCCCTCAGCTCCGAACAAGAGCCACCCCTTCCAGTTTGGGGGGGGGGGTCTAGAGTGCAATATTAGAGCACCTGATTCTGTCTTAAGTGGATATAGTTGAAAGAAATTGTAACGATGTCAGATTGAGGGATATTTGGGGTACAGTACAGAGGAATAGACTTTTGTGTTTTGGCACCTGAAAAGAAATGATATCATTTAGGAAAAACTGAAAAAAGTTATTCTCAGTGACACCTGCACAAGAACCTTCAGTGATGGAGAGGGTGTATAGCAGTTTAGCAAGCCTAAATTCTTAACTGAAATGTTTCTTGTAGGCCTCCTCACTGAGCTAATATGCATATTATAGTGAAGACATCAATTGCGATCGAGTTTTATAATGTGAAGTGCCTCCACTATGGAATTAGGAAAATCCGGATGAGGAGGGGAGCATGCTGCAGATTGCAGAATGTTGTTCAGCTCTTTTGCGTACAGGTAGTACACAGTTCTCGACTTATGACCACAACTGAGCCAAAGCGAGACATTTGTTAAGTGAGTTTTGCCCCATTTTACGACCTTTCTTGCCACAGCTATTAAGCAAATCGCAGTTATTAAGTTAGTACAGGGGTAGGCAACCTGGGCTCTTTTATGACTCGTGGACTTCAACTCCCAGAATTCCTGAGCCAACCACACTGAGGGGAAAGGGAGAGGTTTTCAAGCTGAGCCATGCTGGCTCAGGAATTCTGGGAGTTGAAGTCCACGAGTTATAAAAGAGCCAAGGTTGCCTACCCCTGAGTTAGTAACATGGTTGTGAAGTGAATCTGGCTTCCCCATTAACTTTGCTTGTCAGAAGGTCACACAAGGTGATCACAGGACTCTGGGACACATCATAAATAGGAGTCAGTTGCCAAGCGCCCGAATTTTGATCACGTGACCCCAGGGATGCTGCAACAGTCAGAAGTGTGAAAAATGGTCATAAGTCACTTTTTTCCAGTGTCACTAAATGAACGGTTGTAAGTTGAGGACTGCCTGTGGTTTAATAGATGGGCTATACAACTTAATCTGACCAAGACAAACGGCATCCTCACAAGTTGGAGTCAAAGCCTTCGTGCCCCAAATGGTGCTAGTACTTAGAAATGACGAAGAGATGAGGAAGAATGTTACTGAGAATCGCCAGGGTTCAAAAGAAGATTCACGATTTACTTAACCTTGGACATTTATTTGGATTTTAAAAAAAATGTGACTGTGATTGGAGCTTCCTACCTCCCTCCTTTCCAAATTACTGCTAGCTGACTCTCTGTAATTAGGGCAGAATGCTGCAGTTAAATTGCTCAGTAGGTCTCCTTACCATATGTATGATGGGTCTATAGCCAAACGTTTACCTCAGTGCCATTTTCCTACGTTATTATTGGTTTATAAGACCCTAAACAGTTTATGGCTAGGTTATCTAGACTGTGTTCCCTCACGGCACTAATGTGGCTTGTTCAGTCTAACTTTATATACGTTGTGCGCAGGCAGTCTTGGTGGTTTAATCACCATGGTTTACATTTTTAATATGTTCTGTGCCTGTGGTAAATTGCGGCTTGTTGAACCATAGCTAAACAAACGAGTGTGTGAACTAGGTTACTATCTAGTTAGATTGTAACATTCTGTGGCAGATGTTTTGCTTATTATGCAGTGATTTACTTGAGTTTATTTCGCATGTGGAGGAAGGCACTCTTTTTTGTGATGTTTCTGTGGAATTATCCTCCTTTGGAGAGTAAGTAGGTTTCCAGAATAATACCCCATCAACAATAAAATATGTATTTTTTTTTAGCCTGAGACACTTGACTACATCATACCAGATTCCCTAAGTAATTTATTTAATTCAATTTACCGTAGATGCCACCCAATTTCAAACTGATTCTGTGTGTAATCATATTATTTAATTTTTTGACGGGATTTTATCGCATTTATTGCATTTTAATGTATTACATAACTATCTTGATTTTATTTTTATTTATTTATTTATTTATTGAATTTATTTGCTGCCCATCTTGTAATGAAATGATTCTGTTGTAATCTAAGATAAAGGATAAATTTAAAATGCAAATAAAATGCCATTGAAAGTACTTAATTGAATAAAAAAGGACATAATTTTCTATCTATCTATCTACCTACCTACCTACCTACCTACCTATCCACCTATCCACCTATCAACAATTTCATTAAAAAATTCTGGTCACCTTGTCCTACTTTGGCCAGGTTCATTCTCAAAATATTTTTGACATGAATATTCTTCACCTTAAAACAAAACAGTTGAAAGATAATGGGCTGATGGAAGTGGCTGATAGTATCTTGGAAATGATTAATGGTGAATTTTGGTTTTGGTGGGATCCAGCTGATCCTTTGTCTTTTGATATCTTTTTTCATAGCATGGAGGTTAGGTGAGTTGTTTTAGACAGTTTGCATTTCATTTGTCAGATTTTGGCATTGGTTTGTTTTCCTCT